GCCTTTGGGGGCCTCTTGGGGGCTCTTGGGGGCCTCTTGGGGGCCTCTTGGGTGCCTCTTGGAGGTTTATTGTGGGCTTCTCCGGGGTCGTTTGGGCCTCTTGGGAGCGTCTTGGACCGACTTGGGGCGCTCTTGCGCCATTTTGCCCCTTTGGAGGCTGTCTTGGGGGCCTCTCGGGGCTCTCTTGGGGTCCTCTTGGGCCGTCTAAGGGGCCTCTTGCGCGGTCTTGGGCGCCTCTTTGGGACATCTTGGAGCCCTCCTGGGCCATCTTGGGACCCTCTTGGGTGAACCCTCCCATATTGCAGTTCAGTTTTTTCGGGCCGATGTCTGTAACCTGGATAGGGACTCTATGAGGTTTTGCTCTGCGCTGCTCCTCCTCTGTTTCGTCCTCCGCCCTGCTCCTCGCGGCTCCCGATTGCACCTCCGTGCTCATTGACAGCAGCGCTGCGGTGCTCGTGCTTCCAGAGGAATGGCACCTGTATTGCTTTATCTTCTGAACTTGACTGGAGCATCTACACCCCACCTGGCGGATATAATGAGGATGATACTTTGATTGCGCTTGTCAAGCATTCTGGTGAGAAGTGCGAAGTGGCGTCAGTATAACAGTAGGCAACTTTTCTCTGGTCCATCGTCATGTGCACTCTCGTCCTCCTCCTTGTTTTCGTATTCGTCCTCGTCCCCGTCTTCGTCCGCGTCCTCGCGCTCCTCGTCCTCATCCCCCTGGCCGTCCTCGTCCTCGTCCTCCTCATCTTCGCCCTCATCCTACGGAGGCCCCCAGGGAGCCAAAAACGCTCTGAGCACTGAGCCACGAAATAGCGAAACTCTATGGACTTCTTTTGGTCAGCGGCAGAGGCGGCAGCCTTAGGATTGCCGAGTGGTGCATGAGAACGCGAACGAGAACGGACTAGGTCCAGGACGAGGACAAGGAGGAGTAGGAATGGGGCGACGAGGAGGACGAGGACGATGACTAGGACGAGGAGGAGGATTAGGACGACATGAGGAGGGTGAGGAGGAGGAGGAGGAAGAGGAGGAGGAGGACGGGGATATGGACGAAAAGGTAGAGGTTGGACGAGGGCGAAGACGATGATGAGGAGGAAGACGTGGCTGGGGAGGACGAGGACGACGACGAGGATTAGGAGGGCGAGGGCGAAGAGGAGGACGAGGACGAGGAGGAGGCAGTTGACGAGTACGAAAACGATGATGAGAAGGAGGGCGAGAACGAGGACCAGGGCAAGGACGGTGAGGACGAGGAGGATGATCATGAGGACGATGACGACGACGAGGACGAGGGTTCTTGGAACCAGATTTGGGCACTGTTGGAGCGCACTTGCGGTCTTATCGGGGTTCTCTCGAGGTTTCTTGGGGACCGCGAGGAGGAAGTCGAGGAGGAGGAGGAGGAGGGCGAGGACGAGGAGAAGGAGGATGACGACGACGACGAGGACGAAGACATCGTGGGGTCTTCTTGCGTGGGGCTCTCTAGGGGTCCTTATGGGGCCCTCTGTTTTTGTTCTCTGTTGGACAGTTTGGGATCCTCTGGTCTTTTGGGGTGTCTTGGGTCTTGGGGTCCTCTTGGGGTCCTCTTCGGGGCGCCTTGAGGGGCTTCTGGGGGCCCTGCAGGGGTTCTTGGAGCTATCTTGGATAGTATCGATCACAGGAGGGGGTGGGGGGGTCGACTTCGACCCCCCCCCTCAGGAGCTTTCCAAGCCAGTCACACCCAGACTCACACTTACACTCACTCACACTCGGATCCACCCATAATCGGACTCACCCACTCTCAGTCTTACATAGTCAGACCACACTCACACCCAGACCCACCCATGCTAGTCGGGGCCTTCTTCGGAGGGGGCCGAGCGAGTTACCGAAGATTCAAGGGGACTGGGCGACTCACTTCCGACCAGAAACTGCAGGGACCGAGCGACGCAAGGACTCCCCTCGGACCAGCAACCGCGAGGACGAACAATTCACACCCGACCGACAATTGAGGGGGTTGGACCATCTTGGAGGCATCATGGGGCCATCCTGGGCTCTATTGGAGTCATCTTGCGCGTCTTGGAGGCGTCTTGGGACCGTTTTGCAGTCCATCTTGGACCATCTTAGCTACCTTGGGACCGTCTTCTGGCCGTCTTGGGGCCCTCTGGGGGCCTCTTGGGGCGTCTTGGTGTCATCTTGTGGACCTTTCGGGTCGTCTGAGGCTGTTGGAATCGGCATGTGTTTTGTTTGTGGAAAACCGTGGTCTTCGGACCACGGCGCAAACGTCAAGCACCTGCGCAAAATGGCGTGGTGGGATCAAGCTTCGCTCTCAGAGCGTAAAGAGTGGGTAGACTGGGGAAAAACAGTTTTGATTGACCTACTTCTCCTCTGAGCTCCTAACCCGCTTCTCATCATTCCCATCCAGCTTCTACTTCGTTCTCCTCTACCAGCGGTCGAAGTATCTCGACGTGTTGTAGCACGCGTCGATGATTCCGTGTGGTTATATTTCGCCGTTGACGTGGATCGCTTCAAAGATGCGGAAGAGACCCGCAGGCAACTGATGATGTTCGAGATGTTTTTTGCTCGGCCTAAGCTTAACATTGCGAGATTTGCCGAGAATGTGATCAATGTCTATTTGGGTGCTGTCACTGCCTATGTGCAGAACCTGCAGTCCGAGGAGGAGGAGGAGGAGCAGGAGGGCGGAGGAGGATAAGGAGGAGGAGGTGCAGGAGGAGGAGGAGGAGGAGGAGGAGGAGGTGCAGGAGGAGGAGGAGGAGGAGGAGGAGAGGAGGAGGAGGAGGAGGAGGAGGAACCCTTCCTACCTGTCTGCAACTTTCCTCTAAAACACCAACCAAGTCAGGGGGCGGGGCGCGGGGAGGGGAAGGCGGATGAGAAGTCTTCGTAGGAACATCGAGGGTGGCGAGCGCCGGCGGCGAACAAAGGTCCGAATCGGGCGAACAGAGCTTCGGACCCAGACCTACGACGCAGCGGGTATTCTCACGGCGCGGCCCCCTCGAGCTCTTGCCCCCGCGCCCGTTTCGTTTCTGATCTTCCCTGGGCCCAGTCCCTGCAGAGGGCCCCAGCAGAGTCTCGAAAGGGGGCCCCGAGAGCACTCCGAGAACGCCCCGTGAGCGCCCCGCGAGGGCCTCGAGAGGACCTCGAGCCCTCCCTCTCTCGAGGCCTGGCCCGAACGGGGACTCAGGCATGTCCCCAAACGACCCGAGAAGGGGCCCCGAAGAAGCAGGGCTCCAAGGGCACTCCAACGAGTCTTGAGAAAGCCTTGTGGAAGTCGATTAATGGAGAAGAAGCATGCTGCCGAATAGTTTCCAGATGTTTGAAACATGTGTTAAGCATGTGTTAAACATGTTTGAAACATTTTTTAGAACATGTTTCACACACTTTAACACATTTTTAATTCAATGATCGGATTGCTAGAGTGTCCATTGTCATGGCATCCACAAAGAAAGCCCCGCGAACCTTAGAATTCGTGGCTCCGCCCAGCGAGGTTCTTCACCCCGTGGCTGGCTCGCTGGTCGTGGGCGGCCAAGTCGTCAAACTGCCATCCGACTTCGGTCCACGTGCGATGGGAGAAGTGTTCCAGCCCGGCCTTCCTTAAACAGGGCGGGGAGGGCCTCCAGTCCCCGCGCGGCGATGAGACAGAAACCGGCCGCGTAGCGGATTTCCCAAAAAGACCCTGCGAGGCAAACCCCCAAACGGCCACAATACGGCTCAGCATACCGCCGAAAAGCAAACAAACCCCATGGGCCACCAGCAATATGGCTCCCAGAGGCCTTGGGAGGACCGAAAAGACCCCCGAGAGGCTTTCCAGAGGTCCTCGTGAGGCTCCCAATAACCCCCCAAGAGGTATTCGAAAGGCCACCAAGATGGCTTACAAGGCCCCCAAGAGGGCCCCAAACTGGCCCCAAGAGGGCTCCTCTTCGGGTGGCCAGGCGAGGGGGAGGCCTTCATGCGTGGGGTCGCGGGCTTAGTGGGCCCTGGAAACGACAGGGCCGTTTTTTTACCGGTTCCGTTCTGCCGTTTTCTTGCCGGTTCCGACGCTGTTTTTTTACCGGTTCCGTCGCCGTTTTTTGACCGGTTCCGGCTCCGGTTCCAATCCTGGAGCCGTTTTTTTGCCGTTTCCGGTCGCCGTTTTTTTGCAGTTTCCATTTTCAATGGACGTTTTTCTGGAAACGTTGAAAAAACGGCCCTGCCGTTTCCAGGGCCCACAAAGGTCGGGGGGGTAAGACAGTCCTCAGAGGGAAAACCTTGCTCAACCACATTTGCACAGAAGAGCGGTGGGATTCCACCGGTGCGTGCCTGTGGCCAACGAGCCAGTTCTTCGGCAGGTCAGGGTTCTTCCCTAAGGAAGAGTTGTAAGACGAATATGCGCAATACAGTCGGGGCCCTGAAGAAGGAACCCTTTTCGTTGGGGAGGGGCTCCGTGTTCCTTGATTGTTTCACAGCTTGCCTTAGGCTTTCCTTAGGTTTTCGATGGGGAATCGAATTTTAACTGATGGGAAAAAGGGGCCTCGTTCCCTATTTAGCGTTCCTTAGGTCAACGCCCCCACTGTACAACATGGGGAATGATTGTGCCGATCCCTCCAACGATTACATGACGTGTAGAACAAGCGTGCAGTAGTTGTGAAAGTAACGAGCGAACAGCATTCGACGAGTAGTCATACGCTCGAATATTGACAGTCGTCATGGCTCGAAGCGCTCTCTCTTGGGCATCTGCTGAATGCGTATTTCTTTCTTTCCATCTTTTGTCCGCCATCGCTTTCTCATTGATCATCCACTCTCCCTATCTCTTTCTATAGATATAGTATCCCCCATCCGTATCTCTCTTCTTCTATCATCTTGTTACCCTCCCTCTCTATCTATGTCGGTGTGTTCCTCGCTCTCTCTCTCTCTCCCTTTCTCCCTCTCTCTCCCTATTGATACGTGAGTGCATTTTGTTGCCTATCCCTCTCTTGCATGTCCCGGACATCGTTTGTCTCTCGTCGCCTCCGCCGCCACCCGCCGCCGCGCTCAGGCGGAGCAGGCCGTGCGCGAGGAGCTCCGCGGGGAGCTGCGAGGTGCGAGCGGGGAGGAGGAGCTGGACGAGTGGGAGGAGCAGATCGGCGGTGAGCGATCTGCTCTTTCCAGGAGGAGGAGGAGGAGGAGGAGGAGGAGGAGGAGGAGGAGGAGGAGGAGGAGGAGGAGGAGAGGAGGCGGTGGGATGCGGAGGAGGAGGAGGAGGAGGAGGAGGAGGAGGAGGAGGAGGAGGAGAGGAGGAGGAGGAGGAGGAGGAGGAGGAGGAGGAGGAGGAAGGAGGAGGAGGAGGAGGAGGAGGAGGAGGAGGAGGAGGAGGAGGAGGAGGAGGAGGAGGAGGAGGAGGAGGAGGTGGAGGAGGAGGGGGAGAGGAGGAGGAGGAGAGGAGGAGGAGGAGGAGGAGGAGGAGGATGAGGAGGAGGAGGAGGAGGAGGAGGAGGCGGAGGAGGAGGAGGAGGGAGGGAAGTGAGGAGGTTAGGAGGAGGAGGGAGGAGGAGGAGGAGAGGAGTGAGGAGAGGAGGAGGAGGAGGAGGAGGAGGAGGAGGAGGTAGGAGGAGAGGGTGGAGGAGGAGGGAGGAGGTAGGAGAGGAGGAGGAGGAGGAGGAGGAGGAGGGGAGGAGGGAGGAGGAGGAGGAGGAGAGGAGGGGAGGAGGAGGGGAGGTGGATGAGGAGGAGGAGGCGGAGGAGGAGGAGGAGGAGGGAGGAGGAGGAGAGGAGGAGGAGGAGAGAGGAGGAAGAAGTAGAAGAAGAAGAAGAAGACGAGAAGAAGAAGAGAAGAAGAGAAGAAGAAGAAAGAAAGAAGAAGAAAGAAGAAGAGCAGAAGAAGGACAAAGTAGAAGAAGTAAGATGAAGAAGAAGAAAAGAAAGAAGAGGAGGAGGAGGGAGGAGGAGGAGGCGGAGGAGTGAGGGAGGAGGGGGACGTGGAGGTGGGCGGGGTAAGGCGGCTGGAGGGGAGCTCAGGGGGAGAAGTGAGAAGGAGAAGGCTTTCTCAGAAGGCGGCGGGGCTTCTCAGAAGCCCTCATACCTTCCGAGGTGTTCTCTGTGTCTTCGGGGGACGCTCGGGAAGCTTCTCAGAAGGCCGGGGGACTTCCGAGCCTTCTGAGACTGACTTCTCCTTGTCACTTCCCCCCGAGCTCGCCGCCTAGCAGAGGAAGCAGGAGGAGGAGTCTGTTTGCCGCCAGGGGTGTGATCTATCGAAGAAGCTCAGTAGAGGGAGCGTGGATAAGGAGGAGGAGGAGGAGGAGGAGGAGGAGGAGGGAAAAGGAGGAGGAGGAGGAGGAGGAGGAGGAGGAAAGGAAGAGGGAGGTGGAGGGGTAAAAGGAGGAGGTAGGAGGAGGGGTGGAGGAGGAGGAGGAGGAGGAGAGGAGGAGGAGGAGGAGCGTGGAGGAGAAGGAGGAGCGTGTAGGAGGAGGAGGAGGAGGAGGAGGAGGAGGAGGAGGAGGAGGAGGGTGGATGAAGAGGAGGGTGGAGGAGGAGGAGGAGGAGGAGGAGGAGGAGGAGGAGGAGGAGGAGGAGGAGGAGGAGGAGGAGCGTGGAGGAGGAGGAGGAAGAGGGCAGCTCAGGCGAGGGCGAGCGTGCGGCTCCAGGGAGGAGCGGGTCGCTCACAGCGCCTGCGCGTGCCGCTGCCGTTCGAGGGTGCACTGCGGTGCCTCCCGGGCGCGTCGTGACGCCCCGCAGGCTGCTGTGGTGGTCGCAAGACTGCTGTGTCGGGCCGGACGAAAGGGGGGGATTGGGAACGGGGGGGGTACGAAATCTGCTGCACGCAGCTGGTTTCGGCCCCACCGAGGGGCCCATTCCTCGTGAGCTACGTGAGCTGATTCTCACCCCCCCCTTTGCTATCCCCCCCTTTCGCCCAGCCCGACTGGTGTGCAGGGTGGGTGTGGTAGGTTCGCGTTGTTTCGACTGGCGGCGACCCTGCCGCTAGCGTTCAACTTTGAGCGCCGCCAGCGATCCAGAATCGGTTGATGCTGAACGAGCTGACGTTTCGGAAACGCCCGATCGTTCAAGGTTGAACGATCCCCGCGGTGTCAGAAACCAACGCCGAAGTCGGCACGACACGAACCTGCCGTATCCGTATGATGTTCCGACATACTTCAGCCTTGATCACCAGGAAGAGTTTCGAGCACCAGGTGAGTACCGAATTTGGAGAGCTTTTTCACGCGTCGGCCGCTGGAGGCGACAGTCGCCCGACACTTCGCTCGAAGTTTGTCTCTGGGTGCTCGAAGTTTTGTCTGGGATGTGGCCCTGAGTAGGATGGGGACAACATAAGTGTACCCGTACATGCTCAGGAGGGGAAACACACACACAGAGACACAATGAATCGTCGGCTCCCAGGGATGGGAACATGCAAGAAGTGGGGGGGGGGGAAGACGACGACCCAGGAGACGTGGGGAAACTGTGGGGGAATCCTGAGATCCGCGTGTATGTCTTTGTGTGTCCCTGGGCTCCCTCGCCGTGCACGCGCACGCTCGGTGCACTCCTGCCGCGGACGGGGGTGAGCAGCTGCCCCCCCCCCCTCCTGGGCGGGGGAAGGGGCCTCGAGGCGCTGGGGCCCGCGGCGTCGGATGCCTGAGCGGGGGATGTCGGGGGCCGCTTGCCAGATGCATCATCGTAAAATCAAGCTCATCATCATCATCATCATCATCATCATCATCATCATCATCATCATCATCATCATCATCATCATCATCATCATCATCATCATCATCATCATCATCATCATCATCATCATCATCATCATCATCATCATCATCATCATCATCATCATCATCATCATCATCATCGTCATCATCATCATCATCATCATCATCATCAGGCTCATCATCATCATCATCACCATCATTATTATTATTGTTATTATTAGGATTCTTATTATCAAGCACATCATCATCAACATCATCAGCATTATCATCATCATCGTCATCATCATCATCATCACCATCATCAAGCACATCATCCATCAACATCATCAGCATCAGCATCAGCATCATCATCATCATCCTCCTCGTCATCATCATCATCATCATCATCATCATCATCATCATCATCATCATCATCATCAAGCACATCATCCATCAACATCATCAGCATCATCAGCATCAGCATCATCATCATCAGCATCAGCATCATCATCATCAGACTTTGCCCTCGTCCGAAATCCGGCTTGATACAGCTTGATCCCGCTGAATCCGTCTTGGCCCCGCGGAATCCGTTTCAATCCCGCTTCATCCGCGGCCCAATCCGGCGTAACAGCCCCGCCCTATGAGGCTTGATCCTCCTTAATCCTTCCGACGAAGGCCTCCCAGTAGTGGCCTCCTAACGTAGACACGCTAACGGCGATGTAGGTAACGGCGATGCAGGTTTCGGTATTATAGGTGGGGGTGGTTCGTGGCCAACCCAATTGTAGGGAAGGCTTCTTCGCGTTTTCCTACAGTTTGTTCTGCTCGAGTTCGGCGTCGCAAAGACCAGATTCTCAACATCGCCGTCAACCAGCATCGCCGTTAGCGTGGCCTTGGGAGAAGTGCCAGGGGGGTGTATCCTCTTTAGGGCCTCCTGGGCTTTCGTGGCTCGAGGATCCAGTTTCTTCTTGCCTTGCTTCGGCTTCTTCGGTGAGGCCTCCACCTGCAGAAGCGTCCGCGGAGCCTCTGGGGGCTTCTGGAGGCATTCAGACACGGGGGGGCTTGCTGGCGGTCTCGGGGGCCTTGTCTTGCATCTCGCAGGCCCGCATGGCGCGTTAGAGCTCGTAGTCGTTGATTTCCAGACTGGCAATGCTCCAATGCTCCGAGACTGAGCCCTTTCCAGGGAGCTCCCACTCAAGACGAGCTTCATTCTTCCCTTCGTCGTCAAAGGGCTGCACTCTGTGCTTCGGTGGTCCGGGGCGTCGTGGACGGGATTGGGCATTTTTCCATCATCAGCGCGGGGACTGAACCTGGGTCGTGGATGACCACTACCCATTAACTGAGGCCAGGGCTCCTGGAGCCTGGTCGAGTCCCCCCTTCTGTTGTTCTCGATTTCTTCGTCCACGTGCGTGCGCAGTTGCGCGTTTGTCTGAAACAGTGGTGCGTCCTGTTCTTGTCTGTCAGGCTTCTCTCATCGAGTTTTTCTTGACCCATTTGCGCTGCCATATGTTTTCTCCACGGCGCTTTGGGTTGGAAGGTCGTGTTGTGCGCGCTACGGTCCTTTTACCATGTAGGGTGGTGACGTGCACATGACGTGCATGATGCAGGGTGGTGGCAAATTCAGAAGGACCCTTCCGGGGATGGTTAGAATCCGTGGGGGCTTCCGGGGAGCCCCAGAGGTTTCTGGAAGGATGTGGAGAGGGCGACGCGAAGGAAGAGGGCAATCTGTATATAACAATTTAATACATAAACCAATACATAACTACATGCATACATACATATTTAAATGAACCAATACTACCTACCTACCTACCTACCTACCTACCTACCTACCTACCTACCTACCTACCTACCTACCTACATACATACATACATACATACATACATACATACATACATACATACATACATACACAAGCAACTACATAATACACATAATACATACATACCTATATACATGTATACATAAATACATAGCTACACACATGCAGTACGACACACCTACATCCAAACACACAGAAGTAACTTCACAAGCAACCACTACACATATAAACACACAATACATACATACAACTATACGTGACTAATTACATTATTCGTATCATACATAAATGAATACATAATTCAATAGCTGAATACATCAAACATTCATAAACAACCGAAACATACATACATACATGAATGAGTATTACACACACATATATAGATGTATAGAGCCTTGCCCCATCCCCAGTGAACTATGGCATCTCAGCCCCGTCAGCCCACCCTCCTGGGTGGGGATCGCGAAATCCGACGGGAGCAGCACCTCTCTCTATATATCTATACACATACATACATATAGACATATATCTGTAAGTATCCCCACCCGCGGGGTAAGTCGGCCAGCGGGGCCACGGCCACGCCAGTCGGGACAGGGATCAGTTCAACGAATCTCATCGTCCTTCAGAGAGAGAGAGAGAGAGAAACACACACACACACACACATATATATATATATATATATATATATATAAATGTATATATACGTATGTATAGTTTGAAAGCGGAGGGGGAGGCGGGAGGGGGAGGGGGGGAGGGAGGGGGAGGAGGGAGGGGAGGAGGAGGGGGAGGGAGGGGGGGATGGGTAGGAAAAGGAGGGCGAGGGAGGGGGAGGGGGATAGGGGGAGAGAGCACAGGAGGGGGAGGGGGGAGGGGGGGGAGAAAACAGAGGAGGAGGGAGTGCCCGAGGAGAGGCGGCGCAAGATCGCGCAGATCTCCGAGGCCGAGGCCGCGCTCGAGAAGGCCGAGCTTGCGGTGGAGCGCCCAGCCGTCCCCGGTTGTCCCGCGCCGGGCAGTCTCATCGCGCCGCTGCGCCGATTCTGGAGGGGGGGGGATTTCAGAGGAGGAAGATTGTGCCGAGTGCCGATGCCGCTGCCCCTCCTCCCCATCGAGGTTCTCCTTCTCCTCCTCCCCCTCCTCCTCCTCCTCCTCCACTCCTCCTCCTCCTCCTCCTCCTCCTCCTCCTCCTCCTCCTCCTCCTCCTCCTCCTCTTCCTCTTCCTCCCTCCTCCCTCCTCCCTCCTCCCTCCTCCCTCCTCCCTCCTCCTCCCCTCCTCCTCTTCCTCCTCTCATTCGGTTTTGGCCTTTCTGGGCTTCATTGGAGGCCCTCGGAATTCTGGTCAGAACGCACCCTGGGAGAGGTCTGGGGAGTAGCGGTGTCAGCGGCTTTGGGTTTGCCCATGGCCACCGGTCTTGCACTGGGGAGGGGGGTAAGGAGGGTAAGGCAGGTGATGCGGAGTATGAAGCGCCCATGAATGGGCATGCGCTGCCAGGCGAGCTAGTGGGGATAGATGGGAGGACGGGTGCGACGAGGGAGGGGGGGCGAGGTGGGGGCTGGAGGAGGAACGCGAAGACGAAAAACACAGGGTGGCGGCAGTGGCTGGGGCGGTGTTGGTCGCATTGGCAGGGAGCAGGTGGCCTATGAGAAGAAGAGACTTGTCTTTTCGGGGGTATGGGGCGACGGTAGGTACAGGAGGCTAGGCTCAGAGCGTGGTCCCAGGGCCAGGGTCAGTGTCGCAGGGATGGAATGAGGGGACGATGAGGGAGATGGGGGGAAAGACGAGGGAGTGGGTCACGGGAGGGTGGAGGGAACGTGCAGCATGCATAACGTTTCCAGGCGGCAAGCAGTAGCCTGCTCAGGAGTCCGCCCTGCCGATCCCAGGCATGGGCATATTTCAGCGCGCTTTTCTGGAGCAGCAACCAATGCTTGCCGGGCAGTTCTCTCAACTGTTGCCTCCTGCCCATCGAACTGCACCACCGCCGCGCATTTGTTGCTATTCTTGCTCTGCGCTCTCTTGTTCGTGGGGGAACGCCAGCGGCTCCAGGCTTTAGTTATCGTTCGCTGCTGGCAAGTCGTTGCAGTTTCTTACACTGGTGTGGAACACATGGCAAACTAGATATCAAGACTGTTCAATACTAGCGTATGCTGCTGCTGCTGATGATGATGATGATGATGCTCATGCTGATGATCATGCTGCTGATGATGCTGATGCTGATGATGATGGTGATGATGCTGCTGCTGCTCATGATGATGATGCTGATCATGATGATGATAATGATTGGCGATGATGATTATGTTGGTGATGATGATGCTGATAATGATGATGGTGATGATGATGAGGATGATGCTGATGATGATGATGCTGCTGCTGATGATGATGACGATGATGATGATGATGATGATGATGATGATGATGATGATGATGATGATGCTGATGATGATGATGATGATGATGATGATGATGCTGATGATGATGATGATGATGATGATGATGATGATGATGATATGATGATGATGATGATGATGATGATGATGATGATGCTGATGATGATGATGATGATGATGATGATGATGATGATGATGATGATGCTGATGATGATGATGATCATGATGCTGCTGCTGATGATGCTGCTGCTGCTGATGATGATGATGCTGCTGCTGTTGCTGCTGCTGCTGATGATGATGATGATGATGATGATGATGATGATGATGATGAGGAGGAGGAGGAGGAGGAGGAGGAGGAGGAGGAGGAGGAGGAGGAGGGGGAGCAGGGGCAGGGGCAGGGAGAAGACGGGGGGAGGGGATTGACCACAGTGCTTGAACATGGGGGATTTCATTTCTTTTCTGAGGAACTGGGCCTGTCTGTCGGTCTGGCGGCTACGTAGCCGCCGTCGCCGCCGCCCGGGCGCCGCCTCGTCGCCGCCTGTCGTGTGGGCCTGTCTGTCTGCCTGGCGGCTATAGATTGCCAGAAGCACGCTGTTCGGGATCCGCGTTGGTTGACATATGTGAGCTGCTCCTTGTCTGCGCTGAGCCCGCCGCTGGCCAGTGCCCGCGCGACCCGCTGGCGGACGCGCGCCACAGACAGACAAAAGGGAAGGGTGAGGGAACTGTCAGGCAATCGGGGGAGAAGAAGCGGCTGGGAGGGGCAGCAGCACCTGGCGGGGCGGGGAGGGAAGGGGGGGGGAGGAGGTTTTCCTTTTTCTTCTCTTCTCTTCTCTTCTCTTTTCTTCTCCTCCTCCTCCTCCTCTTCCTTCTCCTCCTCCTCCTCCTCCTCCTCCTCCTCTTTGTGCTGCTGCTCCTCCTCCATCCTCTTGCTGCCCCTCTCCCTCGTCCCCGTCCTGCTGGTCGAGAGCTAAAGGAGCTAGATGAGGAGGACCAAGGGTATAGGCCAGGCCGAGGGAGGCAAGCACCCGTGTCTCCTCCCCCTCCCTCCACTTGCTCCTCGACGAGCCCGTCGGTCCATGCTTGGAACTAGCACAGGGTGTCCTTTTGCTGCTTTGCGTCCTCAGAATTCCGATCCTCGGGCCTAGACGAGACCCGTCAAGAGAAGAGCAACAAACGAGAGCGGACGTGTATGGGAGACATCTCACTATTCTGTCTACGACCATCATCTTACGCACTGCCAGCACGACAGTGCTCAGCACTCCGAGCGTCACGCTATGGTGTAGGGCTTCGCACGCGCTCGCGCTCTGGAAGGCTAAGTGCGCACTCGCACTGAGAATGCGATCATCTCGGAGCTTAAGTGTGGCACAACAGCAATCTGCTGCTCCTGCTGCTGCTCCTGCTGCTGCTGCTGCTGCTGCTGCTCCTCTCTCCTTTTGCTGCCCCCATTCGCTCGTCCGCCTGCTGCTGCTGCTGCTGCTGCTGCTGCTGCTCCTCCTCCGTCCTCCCGGCGGGGCGGAGGCGGGAGGATGTGGGGGGAGGGGGAGGGGCAGCGCGCCGCCTCTGCGCGCGCGCGCGCCTCTGCGCTCGCTCCCCCCCCCCCCTCCCCGGGCACGCGCTCCAGGTGGACGCCGCGAAGGAGCGGAGGGACGAGCAGACCAGGAGCGAGCGCCTGCCTGGCCGGGCTGTCGGGCGCGGCTTTTCGGCGCGGCCCGTCGGCGGGGGGGGGAGGAGGAGGAGGAGGAGGAGGAGGAGGAAGAAAAGGAGGAGGAGGAGGAGGAGGAGGAGGAGGAGGAGGAGGAGGAGGAGGCGGAGGCGGAGGAGGAGGTTCGACTCCCACCAAGAGAAGAGTCAAGGGCAGAGAGAGGGAAAACGGGGGTGGGGTGCCCATCGGAGGAGGACAGGGGGTCGAGGAAACGCAGCCACGGGTCGGGCCTTTCCGATGCCGTGCAGGGATCTGTGCGCACGGTCGCCACATCGGGGGGCCCCGGCTTCGCGCCCACGTGTCCGCACCTCTAGTCCCCGGCGGCGTGTGGCCGAGGGGGGAAAGAGGGAGGGAGCCCGTCCCCGACTGGTGGGCCCAGCCCGTCCTGGGGCTGGCCTCTGCAGGACGAGGAGGGGGGAGGGAGGAGCAGGGATCGCGAGGAGCAATACAACAAGGGCCACGTACGAGGGAAAACAAGAGGCCACGCGCGAGGACTGTGGCCACGCGCGAGACTTCCAGAGACCCCACAGATGGGCAGCGTGGAAAAAACACTGCAGTCGTTGACTGGTTCAAGTTGCAGTTTGAGTCTATCAAGGGGCCTTCCTTCATTTTGTCCGCAGGGAGCCATGCCGCGTTTCAACGCCTGTGATTGCTGGTGAAGTGGTGAAGTGTCGAATCGTGGTAAGTGCAAAGAGTGTGGGCTCCCCTGGGCGATCTCGCGGCCGAAAGCCCGGCCCAAAAGTTCGCCAAGACCCTGTGCTTCCCCGACCTGATCCAACGACTCTTGGCGATTTTGCCCGCCCAAAGACAAGCATGTCTCAGGCCGAACGCAAGCGGCAGCAACGGCAAGATCAGGAGACAGTTGCTGCAGCCAAAGCCGCTTCTGACTCTGCTGCGCAGATGCTTGCCGCGGAGATCGCCGCAGCCGCCAAGCTCGCGGCAAGCGCAGAGCGCGCAAAAGCTGCAGAGCGTGCAGCAGCGGAGGCCAAGAGACTCGCAGACGAATCCACGATTGTGGAGCAGATGTTGCTTTTTCGCTCGAGCCACGTCGACGGCCTCTTCCAGAAACTCCCACGCGAAGGTCAGCAGGTTTTCAATGCTTTGAAGGATTGCGTGAACGCGTCGATCACAGGGCAGCGACCTTTATCAGTGGCCGACTTCCGTACTGCGGTGGAGGGCATGCTTGGCCCCTGCAGTCTTGATGGCCAGTCGGATGCGCAGTGGGTCGTCCGAGTTCCGGGCATGCGGCTTCATGCTTCCATCAGGGCAGAGGTTGAGAGCGGAGAGGAAACTCTGGCAGCCGACGCGTTGGGTGAGTTGAAGCTTACGGCAGTCAGGGTGAGGCGCGCACTCCGCCGGTACCCTCACTTGCTCTTCCGGCCAAGTGACGAGCTAAGGAGGGTCGCCTCCCAGGAGTGCGCGGGCGCCAGGGAGAGCCAGGCGCACATGCAGGGGAAAGACGCAGCATGTCCAGTGTGTGAGGAGCCCTTTCAGCGAGGCCGCCTGGGGGGTGAGCACCACTGTCACGTCATCGCTACCTTCCAATGCTGCTCCGAGTGGAAGAGCCACTGCGCCCGCTACAACCCAGAGACCAAAGAGATCTTGGGGCAACGTTGCAAGAGCTGTGACAAGCTCGGGGTTGTTGTGCGATGGGAGGTTGGGGGCAATTCTTCAAACACGGACCAGAAGAAACCTCACCGGAGCGATCTCTGCGAGGCTTGCGCGCGCTATGGAAATTGTTCCGGTGCCTTCTTTGATCCATATGTCGTCACCAGGGCCATCCAGGTGCATTCCGAGGTGAGCTCTGTGCACTGGCACCTTCATAGCAGCGGCAATCTGTGGGCCGCAGTGGTTTTCGGCAACAGCGTGGTCCTGCAGCCACACGTTCATTGCCTGCAGGAGTGACTTTCGACAGGGAGCCACCTTGCGTTGGCTTGCGTGCATGCGCTGCTTGTTCAAGAGTTGTTACCTGTATGGGTTATGGATGCGAGCTGCAAGTATCCAGTGAGCATCAGCTACGTGTGGAGCCAGCGTAGCATGTCTCCGCTATGCGCAGTATCACGGGATCAGCAGGTGGCAAACAATTGGCCCTCTGTAGGGTGCAACTACTCAGTAAGCAGCATCTGACCGAGTCGCCGCAACGCGCAGTCTGTTTTCATTCAGGCAGACATGCCCCGATCAATGCCACTCCCACGTTAGCTTGTTACGCGCAGCCAACATGCCGTTGCAACGGTGTTGTGTCAATCATCAAACGGTGAAGTTCCATTTTTCGCTCCAGCTTGTGTCGCTTCCTTCTGCCCTGATGTCTCGCGATGTGGGGCTCTTTCACTCCCGTGTGCCGTCAGCGCACATCATGATAAGAGATGGTGCTACTGCGCTGCTGTTCAGATGCGTGGTAAGCCTTGTGGCAAGCTTCTGTCGCCTCCGTTCCTTATTCTGTCCTTTTCCTTTCCGTCTTCCACTTTTGCCGTCGCCTCCTGCGCTTTCGGTGAGACTTGCACCTGCCAGCTCTGGTGTCTGGGCTTGAATCTTCAAATCCTGAATCTGTCGCCCTCGGGGCGTGAGTGTATAGCTCGATGGAGCGAGGGCGGTATCGCAATAAGTGGTTTGGACCTGCGGTCTTTGTGAATGCGACTATGTCGCTTCTCCCTTCCTCGAGTGTCTTACGCCTCTCCGCAGGCCCCCAGAGGAGAAACGACGTCTACGGGTGGGGCCTTCTGGCTCCTGGGAACCGTTTTGAGGGGCCGGCTGGGGCATCTCTTGGGCCTCTTGGAGCCTCTCGGGGATCCCCTCGGGGCGGAGAGCTCGAAGTGTAAGTTCGAGTTCCCCGTCTCGGGCCTCTCTTGAAGGGTTTTTGGGTCTCTCTCGGGCCGTCTTGGGCGCCCTGTGGGCCGTTTTGGAGCTCTGTCGGGCCGTCCTGGGGCCCTCTTAGGGGCCTCTCTGGCCGCCCTAGAGCGATCTTGGGGACTCTTGGGCCGTTTTGGCCGCTGTTGAAACTGAAAGGGTGAATATGCTAAACATGTGCGATTTCCTTTGGAAGTTGTGCGATTGCGAAGGCCTTATGGCAGGGGACAACGACGACGACGACGACGACGACGACGACGACGGCGGCGGCGGCGGCGACGACGAAGACGCTGACGTGGGTCAGAGTCCTCAGGGATGCTGCTTGGGGTCTCTTCGGAGCGCTCTCGGAGGCCTCTGGGGGGCAGTTTTGGGGCCTCTTGGGAGCATCTTGGGGGCCTCTTGGCACCCTTTTGGGAGCCTCTCGGGGCTTCCTGGGGGCCTTTTGGGGCCTCTTGGGGCCTCCTGGGGCCCTCTCGGGGCCGAGGGCTCGAAGTGTCCGTTCGCCTCCCCCGTCAGGGCACCCTGTTGGAGACTCCGGGGGCTCCGGCGGCCTCTCGGGGGTCTCGTGGAGAACCCTTGGGGCCTTCTTCGGGCTGCCGGGCCTGCACGGGGGGGAAGGGAATCCGGGTGGCGACCCCCCCCCTGGACTTCCCGGGGGCCCCCCTCGGGACTCCCCCCCCGGACCCCCCCCCTGGAACCCCAGGACCCCCCCGGGACCTCCCCCTGGACCCCCCCCCCCGCGGGGAAGGGATCAGAGGGAAGGGGCTCCTCTTCGACTGCACTCCGACGTTGCTCAAATTCGCTCTGGATGGTGCGCTTGAGGAGGCGGGCCCAGAGAATTGGAACGGAGGACGACGGAGACGACGACTCGCACGGAGAAGCCCGACTCGAACGGGGAAGCCCCTCACCCACGCCGACAGGGTCGGCGGATTGTGGCCTCTTGGGGCCCTGTTGGGGGTCCTCTTGGAGCTTTTTGAGAGCCGTCTTGATGCTATCTTGGTTGTTTCTGAAGCCTCCTTGGCGCGTTGGAGCCCAGCTTGAGCAGGCTTCGGTGGACTCTTGGGCATCTCGGAGGCCACGGAGTGGCTCCGTGGGGAGGGTCTGGGAGCTCGCCCCCCCCTCCGGCTCCCCCCGCGCTCTCAGCGGATTTCAGACCCCGAAAGGTGGGGAGGGGGACAGCCAATCATCTCACGCGCCTCTGCACCCTTGGCGAGCGGGGTTCGGCGGATTTGCACGGTCCCGTGCACACGCCTATCGGCGTGTGCAGTTTCCCCAAACTTTACCTACAATGCGTCGGGGGAGAGTGTGCCAGAATTTGACCGCACGATCTGGATAATTATGATGTTCATACTCGCCTTCTTCTTTGGCTTCGAAGCCGTTCTGCTGTCGTGGCATTCGTGCAATCGCGTATGATGAAGCAAATCTTCGCCTTCTCACGGATCGATCCAGCTCGGGGAATGACGCAGAAGGATGGGGTCGGGGCCTCTGTTCGTTTTTTTGTGTCCGGACGACGTGTCGTTTTCCCAACCGTCCTGTGTTGGTTTCCGTTGTCGACAGAGCATGGCCGTTCCTCGCTCGTCGCTCCTCCTCCTCAGAGAACCTCCGAGGTCGGTGTTCTCTCTCTCTCTCTCTTTCTTCTCTCTCTCTCTCTCTGCTTCGTTCCCCATCGCTCTCTCCGCCTCTTTTTTTTGTTCTCTCTCTCTCTCTCTCCTTCGTTCCCCATCTCTCTCTCCGCCTCTCTTTGTTTGTTCTCTCTCTCTCTCTCTTTCTGTCCCCCAGTCCCGCAGTCCTGCTCGCCGCCTTGCTCCTTTGCTTGCTTCACCTGCCCTTTGTCGTTGGAATCCTCGTTCGGTTGGGGTCAGGGTCTTCGTTGCCACATGCTCTAGCTTCGGAGGAAGGCGAGGATGATGGTGCTGACACTGAGGACGATGGTGCTGACGATGGTGACAATGATGTTGACGATGGTGAGGGCAAGGATGTTTTCTCCGAACAAACGAGTGCGACAGGGGTCTCATCTCCATTACAGCTGGACCGAGGTATGAGATCGAGGGCGGTTCGGGGAGGGTACCCTGATGTTCTTCGTGTTTGTTGGAAGCTCTTGTGCATCCTGGGGGAGGGTACCCTCGAATGTTCTTCAGCCTGGCCGGCGAAGGGTCTCGTGCTCCTAGATGTCCTTCTGTCCTCGGCCGGGCCGCATGTGAACCAGCTGCCGACTTCTGGAATGCGAGCAACCGTGCCGCCCGCCTGCCGGCCCGTGCGTCTTCGTGCCGGTGTGGTGATGGTGATGGCGTCGATGGTGTCGATGATGATGATGTTGCCGCTGCTGATGATGATGATAAGGTTGATGATGATGGTGATGAGGAGGATGATGAGGATGATGAGGATGAGCATGATGATGGTGATGATGGTGATGATGATGCTGGTGGTGGTGGTGGTGATGATGATGATGATGGTGGTGGTGGTGATGATGATAGGGGTGGGTTGTTCTTGGTGATGGTGATGACGAGTCATATGACGGTTTCAGTCGGATGAAGAGGAGGAGAGATGCATCCTCTTTCTTTTGTTCCTCCTCGTTCACCGAGAAAGCTACCTTAACAGGGAAGCGAGAAGACGCTTGATGCACGTGGGGGATGGCCGCGGCGTAGCCCGCGAGGCCAAGGCGAAGTTGAAGGACTCGGGGCCTGCTCCGAAGATCAGTTTGCGGTGTGTGTGGGGTGGGCAGTGGGGAGGGGGGTTGGGAAGCGCTCGATGTCCCTGCCCTCCTTCCTCCTGCAGTCCCCTTTCTCCTTTGTTGTTCAGCTGTAGGAGAACGAACGATGACGTAAACATACGAACTCGGAGGTCCGCGCCGATTTCTCGAATCGGCGCCCCTGTTCTTATGTTTGAAGGAGCGCGTTCTCTGGGCGCTTGGAGGGGGGGAGGGGGGGGGTTCGAACGCCCCCCCCTCCTCCCTCCCTCTCCTCGGGCAGGAGCCGGCGGCGGCGGCGGGAATGTCGATGAAGATGAGGTCTTCCCTTTCTGGGCCGGCGCCGGCGTCTGCGGCGGCTGGCGGCGGCGGCGGGGAGCGTCGACGAGGACGACGGCGACGACGATGACGACGACGACGAAGACGCTCGTGTCTTGGTTTTGGATCAGAGTCCTAATGGATGCCTCCTGGGTTCTCGTCGGAGGGCTCTCGGGGGCCTCTGAAGGGCATTTGTGAAGCCTCCTGGGCGCCTCTTGTGCGTCTCTTGGGGCCTCTCTGAGGTGGTTGTGGTGGTGGGCTGTGGTGGTGGTGATGGTGGTGGTGGTTGTGGCGGTGGCGATGGTGGTGGGTTGTGGTGATGGTGTGGTGGTTTCTGGTGGTGGTGGTGGTGGTAGTTGTCGTGGTGGTGGGTTGTGGTGGTGGCGGTGGTGGCGGTGGTGGTGTGGTGGTGTGTCGTGGTTGTTGTGGTGGTGGTGGTGTTGTGGTGGAGGTGGGTTGTTGTGGTTGTGGTGGTGGTGGCGGCTGCGGTGGTGGTTGTGCGGGGGTTTGTGGTGGTGGTGGTGGGTGTGGTGGTGGGTGGTGGTGGTGGCGATGGTGGTGGTGGTGGTGGTGGTGGTGTGGTGGTTTGTTGTGGTGGTGGTTGTGGTGGTGGGTTGTGGTGGTTGTGGTGCTGGTGGTGGTGGTGGAGCTGGTGTTGTGGTTTGCGGTGGTGGTGGTGGTTGTTTGGTGATGGTGGTGGGTGGTGGGTGGTGGTGGTGGTGGGTTGTGGAGGTGGTGCTGGTGGTGGTTGTGGTGGTGGCGGACGTGGTGGTGGTTGTGGTGGTGTGGTGGTTTGTGGTGGTGGTGGTGGTGGCGGTGATAGGTTGTTCTGGTGGTGAGGTGGTGGGTGGTGGCGGTGGTGGTGGTGGTTGTGTGGTGGTTCGCGGTGGTGGTGGTGGTGGATGTGTGGTGGTGGTGGTTGTGTGGTGTTGGTGGTGGTGTGGTGGTTTGTGGTGGTGGTAGTGGTGGTGGGTTGTGCTGGTTGTGGTGGTGGCGGTGGTTGTGGCGGTCGTGGTGGTGGTGGTGGTGGTGGTGGTGGTGGTGTGGTAGATTGTGGTGGTAGTGATGGTGGTTGTTGTCGTAGTGGTGGTGGTTTGTTGTGGTTGTGGCGGTGGTGGTGCTTGTGTGGTGGTGGTGGTGGTTGTGTGGTGGTTTGTGGTGGTGGGTCGAGGTGGTGGTGGTGGTGGTAGTGGTGGTGGCGGTGGTGGTGGCGGTGGCGGCGTGGTGGTTTGTCGTGGTGGTGGTGGTGGTGGGCTGTGGTGTTGGTGGTGGTGCTGCTGGTGCTGGTGGTGGTGCTGACGGTGGTGGGTGGTGGGTGGTGGTGGTGGTGGTGGTGGTTGTGGAGGTTGTGTGGTGGTGTGGCGGTTTGTGGTGGCGGTGGTGGTGGGTTTCGGTGGTGGTGGTAGTGGTGGTGGTGGTGGTGATGGTGGTGGTGGTGGTGTTGTGGTGGTTTGTGGCGGTGGTTTGTGGTGGTGGTAGTGGTGGGTTGTGGTGGTATGTGGTGGTTGTGGTGGCGTACAGTGGTGGTGATGGTGGTGGTGGTGGTGGTGTAGTGTTTTTTGTGGTGACAGTGGTGGTTGTGGTGGTGGTGGGTTGTTGTGGTTGTGGTGGTTGTGGTGGTGGTGTGGTTGTTTGTGGTGGTGGTGGTGGTGTGGCCTTCGGGTCTTCCCGCCACCGTGTTTCGGCTTTGGGTCAAGATTCTAATGGGTGCCTCTTGAGGTCTCGTCAGAAGGTATTCGGGGGCGTCTGAGGAGGAGCATTTGTGAAACCTCTTGGCTTTTGGGGGGCGAGGCCTCGATATGGCGTTTTGTGTTTCCCCTCTGCGGCCACTTGGCCCTCTCTGGTCGTCTTTGCTGCGTCCCTGCCGCCAGCGCTGCTGGCCGCTGGCCGCCGCCAGCGCCAGCGCTGGCGCCGGCGCCGGAGTGGGGGGGTTTGGACGCCCCCCCCTCCCTGAGTCCTCTTTTGTTATCGTTGCTGCGTCCCCGCCGTCGGCGCTGCTTGCCGCCGCCAGCGCCGGCGCCTGCGCGGGTGGGTTTTGGAACCCTTTCCCCCCCTGGGAAGGGGGGGTGGGGTTGTGGAGGGGGGGGTTTCAGGGGGAGGGGAGTCCCTCTGGTTCCGGTCGACGGCGCTGAGTGTTGGGGGGGGTGCCCCCTCCCCGGTTCGAAGCGTGCCGCCGAATGTTCCCAAGGCAAGCGCCCGTGAACGCGCTCTCTCTTATTTATGTCTGTGTTCGTTCCCCAGAGCTGTGCCACAGGAGGAACAACAAATGGGAAGAAACGCCGCATGGGAGGGTGACTCCAGCGTGACGACCACGATTGGCTCAACAATTCACGCGCTGCTGATGGCTTGCTCCTCGCTGCACCGTCCTCATCTGATACAGGAGCAATGCTTTCAGACCTTAGCGCAAAACCAAGGAGCATGGGACTCGTTCTGCATCCTGACAAGACTGCAAAAACGGTCATGGAAATTCATGCCGATGCCGACCACCGCAGCAAATACATGCGAATGGAATGATAATCGAGGTTCCACCGCCTTCATATCTCGCAGACTTGGGCGCAAGGTGCAGTTGTAAACTCGGGTAGCCACCGCTTGAAAGAACCTCCGTTCGCTGAGACACGACGTATTCGGGAACGATTATTGGCTAAGCAACAGGCTGCGATTATTGCATGAATTCGTCACATTAACCGTATTATACGGGCTTGAAGCTTGGACAGCGACGACAGCTTTGGAAAACCGCTTACAGAAAACTCAACGACTGATGTCCAAGATGATCATAAGGGTTCAACGACGCTGGTATCAGCGTGCCGACAACAACATCGGACATCAAACCGTTGAGGCCGACGGTTCCAGAAACGACTCTGGAAACGATGCCAGCAACGACTCCAGCGACCACGACATCGACACCATTTGCGACACAACCATATTATTGAATTTGCAAAAACCTTCTGGAGCTTTGGGTCGATTGGATCAAGCGTGCGACTACCGAGGCCTGTTTGCGGAGGCAACAACTCAGTATCGATCGTTTGACGATTATACAGCGGAGACGCAAACTTCAATGGGCGCGACAAGTTGTCAGTGGACCAACCCGGAAATGGCAAATGAAACATTGTGGTGGAGACCGGACGACGGCCCATAGGGATCACCTCTTTGACGGCCTGGTCGCGAAAAACTCGAAGGATTATATGATTTACGTAGGTTGGTCATGGATTGTTGTGGACATGTGGATTGGCACCGTGTTGTTACCACGCTGGCGTGGGACGACTACGCGTGCCTTCAGCAGTGATGTTGCCGCCGTCCTTCCTCCTCCTCCTCCTCCGCCTCCTCCTCCTGTATGGAGACAGCCGTCCGAAACTCGTGTGTGCCAGAACATTTCTTGGGAGGTCCGCGAGTCAACGTTCGTGCTGCGGTTGGACGGTCATGAATCGCACCAGAACGCCATTCCTCGGATTTCGACATCGCGAATCAACGTAACCGTTGCGCCCTGACAGTCCTACATCGTGCCCACCGGGTTTTTGGCACGTCATACGCAATAAGCTTTGAACTTGCGGTAAACTCTTAAGGTGAGTGTGCGCGGCGCTAGGGCGAGATCCACGTTTTGAAAAGGAACCGTCCTTCATCCGTGAATTTCTTTCGAACTTTTGAGACGAATGTGCGCGGCGCTCGGCGAGAGCAACGTTTTGAAGACGGCCCGCCTTCCATCCGTGAAACGCCCGCAAAGTTCGAAAACGAACGTGCGCAATGCTAAGGCGACAACTTCATTTTGAAAACGGCCCGCCTCAACGGCCGCAAAGTATGAAGACGATTGTGCGCGGCGCGAAGGCGAGAGCCTCATTTTGAAGACGTCCCGTCTCTCATCCGTGAAACGCCCGCAAAGTTTGAAGACGAATGTGCCCGGTGCTAAAGCGAGAGCAGCATTTGGAAAGCGGCCCGCCTTCCATCCGTGAAACAGCCGCAGCGTCTTCAAATTAATTTGCGCGGCGCGAAGGCGAAAGCCTCATTTTGAAAACGGCCCGCCTTCCATCCGTGAAAAGTCCGCAAAGTTTGAAGAACGATTGTGCGCGGTGCTAAGGCGAGATCAACATTTTGAAAACGGCCCGCCTTTCATCCGTGAGTCGGGCGCAACGTCTGAACACGATGGTGCGCGGCGCGAAGGCGAGAGCCCCATTTTGAAGACGTCCCGCCCTCCATCCATGAAACGACCGCAAAGTTCGAAGACGAATGTGCGCGGTGCTAAGGCGAGAGCAACATTTGGAAAACGGCCCGCTTTCCATCCGCGAAACGGCCGCAACGTCTTCAAATCATTTGGGCGGCGCGAAGGCGAGAGTCTCATTGTGAAAACGGCCCGCATTCCATCCGTGAAGCGCCCGCAAAGTTTGAAGACGATTGTGCGTGGTGCTAAGGCGAGAGCAACATTTTCAAAACGGCCCGCCTTCCATCCGTGAAGAGGGCGCACAGTCTGAAGACGATTGTGCGCGGCGCGAAGGCAAGCCTCATTTTGAAAACTACCCGCCTTCCATCCGTGAAGCTCTTGCAAACTTTTCAAAACGAATGGGCGCGGCGCTGAGGCGCGAACTTCATTTTGAAGAGTACTTTGCCTCCATCCGTGAAGCTTTTCATATTTTTAGCTTTAGGACCAGAACTGCGGAGGGAGTCTCATGCGAACGGCCCAGTCCGC